AAGGATCAGTAACAGCTTGTAGTGAAGTAGGTTCAATAGCAAACATCTTCAAGATCTTCCCAGCTGATCTTACTCTCCTTCCGCACAACAAACTGGCTATTATTATCCTTCTAGTTGCATGATGGTAACCCGATGTATGGTGCAAGGAATGCGCGTTACAAAACAATCTCCACAAATTTTTTCAAGTGTGAAAATATGTTCACCTTAATCAGTTCTTTTATCTCACCAATTAGTTGATGAGCTAAACTTAATGTCGCATGGCAGCTGTAGAAATTGCAGTAACCTTTTCACAAATCATTTCAAGGTTGTTATCTTACTACGTGTAACACTGTAATGTTTAACAATAACCATCAACGTAATGACAACTGCAAGCCATTTTTCCTTCATGTAGGTGAAATGAACATAATAGTTTAATATCTGGAAAAAATAACATTCACTTACAAATAATCTGCATTTGGTATATCATACGTTGTATTGGAAGGTTTTTAGGAGTATATAAGCCAAAGCGATTCGAAAAATAGGTATCTTCCGACGTGTGTTTCAGTAAATAATGACGTCGCTTGAAATGTTCTTTTGAGATTTTTTTTTATCTCATAGCTCCCAAAAGTTGTGATTTCTTTTTTTATGGCCATTCATTTCTTATCCTTCTTTTTGACTGGGTAGTGACAGCGCGTTGTGATGACAATAAGACCATTTCCTTGGCATACATCTTTCTTTATTATTTTCTTTCGTCTTATCTTCTAGTATTCTTTCTCTGTAGAAAATTTCAGAACGTGGTTGGTCTTAACTAGAACAAGATAACGCACTTCCTCACCCATATCCTACTGCGCTAGTCTCTGTCGTTTCTAATTCGGTACCAGACGTCGAGACGTAATTTATGAAAGCAAACAAGGTTCGAAACGACTATTGGTTGCTTGATTCATAAGTTTCATTTGTTGCTGGTCGTGACTATAAATATACTCAAAGTTATCCTCAATAAAAACAGAGTTATCAACAGCGAAGATAAAGATGAAAGCTTTAGGCATCGCCACGTCACTTTAGGAGAAACTGAATGACCTTTCATTTCCTACACTACTTAATAGCTACCTAGGTGAAGCGCAAGATCAAGGCAACTTAGAAACGTAATAGAAACAAAGATTTTTCAGTAAAATTGTTTTAGTAAAATCAAACGTCTTTTGTTACACTGCGGTCACTATGTAAAAATTTTGCTAAGGGAGCAAATAAGAGCTAAAACAAGGAGAAGGAAGAGATACAGGAGTGGAACAGCAACTTTTTATGCTTCGTATGGTGGATTTAGCAGTGAAATGACCAGTTTTTTTCCCGCGTAAACTTGAGTATAAGTTCCTCTACAGTGCAATTTTGATAGCAGCGACGTTTAAAATCTGAATTTCGTTGCAACGTCAACTCTTTATGCCATCTACCCTGCTTGCATAAGTGCAGTTAGACATTCGGAAGTCCTGAACAGTAGAGTTCTACAACGCTTGACTTTTATGACAAATAAAGTGACTACTGAACTAAAAAAACAATAAATTTTTGGGATTTGGATATACGAGGGAATGGAATGCTATGAACCACAACCAGAAGGAGCACTCTAAAGAAGTTAAAAAAAAAAACGTTTGTGACCGTGCAACGATTTTTTACATAGTAAAACAAAAACCATCGTTAGTCTTAGTGACAAAAAAAAAAA